ATGATGATGATAATGATAATAATAATAAATTATTAATAATACCAACAAAAACAATAACAATAACTGCAAAAACAAAAATAAAAGTCAAAAAGATGCATTTTGTTCTACTGTTTTCATGTGAAATATAAAATTCTTAAATGACAGAATCAAGTTAAAATTAATAAAAATTGCTATACCACATCATCCTTTTCAACATTTAAATAAAGCTAGTAAAGTGCACTCGGTGAGGGTATGTAAATTGGCAATGGCAATAGCAGTGGATAAATCTGCTTCATTATTAACATTTTCATACTCTAGTACATCTTTCATCATACTTCTTAAAATTGTCGCATAATTATTTTTTAATTTTTGTAGGTCAACCATCAATGTATCTTACTAATTATACTTTTTTATAAATCATGCATTGTTGTACATACTAGCTACATGTATGTTACTGTTAGTCTATAAGGTGGAACAACTTAACCAACACGATATCACAGAAAAAATTACCAAGCAAGATTTAAAAGCAACATGGATGTTAAACATACATACTTGATCAGAATAGTCTATTCATAATAAAACTAGCAACAATGATAACAAAAGATGAAATAATAGAAGGCTATGCATAAAGGATCAGTGTTATGATACTACCAAAGAAGGCAAAGTGTTTACCTATACATTATTTCTGTGTATTCAATAGAGGAAAAATATTGTAGTCCTCCAATTTATAAAACAACCTAAATTTACTCACCAAACTAATTTGAATTTATTGTTAAAAATCATTTAAATTGCCTATACATGTCTTTTCCATCAAAAAAATGTAGTTGCTATTGGTAAAAATAGTTGCTCCTACTTTTAATCATAATTGGTGCGTGGGCGGCTGACTTCTGGTATCCACCCACTCATTTACTTCTAACTCCTACTCCTACTCCTACTTTTATCTAGCAAACTCCTACTCCTACTTTTATCGGGACCCCCATGAAACTTGTTTCTTGAACCACCTTTTATACAGGAGTCAATGGAGCTTGAACATGTCTCATGAAGTTGAAAAATTTCAACTTAATAAAACATGTTTTAGGCTCCATCAATTCCTGTATATAAGATGCTTCATGAAACAAAGTTTTATAAAGCAAATTTCATGGTGCATGATAGAAACTATAGTGTATATTGACTTGATTGGATATTTCAGACTCAAATAATTATCATATTTTATTTAAAATGTCATCACATCTACCTGAGCCCTAATAATTTTTTCAATAGCATTATTATTTGTACAACATATTTTTATGCTTCAAATCAAAATATGTTTTGAATTAAAACAAATACCAAGTTGGCTCAAAGGCTCCCATGTAGCAAAAGTGAGGCTTCCCAGCTAGAGGCTAACAGTTATACTCCATACAATCTAATAAAGGTTCTCCCATCTGATACAAGGACTTGCTCCTTCACTTCACTGTCACCTATTTGTAGTTACTATTGCAATTTGATTCAAAAGCTCTCCCATACCATAATGCAGTTACTATTGTAATTGTACAAAGGCTCTCCCAGTTCACTATCACTTAATCATAGCAGAATACTATTACAATTTGACACAAAGGATCTCCCAGTTCACTGTCATTCACAATTACAATCTGAAAAAAGAGAGCATCTTCTTCAACAGTGCTGAGTTGTATTATTGCTATGCATTATGTTAACAAAATGTGAGCCAAACTCTAGATCAAATAAGTGACTGTAATATAAAGAAATTTTTATATTGCAATGAGAAGTAGAGAAACATTCCTGTTAATAATCACTATACAAGTCTCATCTACTTTAAAACACAATTTTTGCAATATGCTTTAGTGCCATTTTGATGGACTCTTCAATATACAGGCAAATTTACAATTGTATTAAATGCAAATTATTTTTTTACAAAAAATCTCAGTTCAAATATTGATCATTTTCTAAGAGTTGGCAAGTTATATTACCAATGTATTAACACTTACTATTATCTTGATAAAGCGTCATACTCGATAAACTCATTGTTTCTACACAGATGGCACTATCACGAGAATTCACTAGATCTACCAGGCCCTAAAATCAAAATTTACGCAATTAGAAATAGGCCAGTGAATTAACACAAATTCATCTCATCATGTTAACCCCTCATACAGCTTACCTTTTGAGTACATGTTTCTTCCTGAGGATGCTCGTATGAAAATGTACTCTCGGTGTCATGCATACATTGATCTACCAATGGTTTTATGGGCTGTACATTATCTTGTCCCCAATCCACATTTCTATCTCTTTGTACTAATAATGACAAAATTCAAACAATTTTACGTAAAAAATTTACAATCATTTTCCATAGTATAATCTAAATTCATTATTGTTCACACCCACCCACACACACATGCACATTAACTCACTGCATTACTTTCAGACTAGAAACATTTCATCTACACAATTATTTTATGAAGCTCAGCTGGAGTCAGCCCCGGAAAAATAAAATTAAATTTAAAGAGTTGGGCACCCTAAAAATATTTTAACCATGCAGGCTCACAAGACTATACTGTTGACCTTGATGCAGAAGGTCACTGCTTAAATTAGCCCACATGCATCTCCCAACCTCCACCACACTCTGCAGCAACCAGCAAAATTTATTTATAGTGCTACTGTAGTTACTGTAGCAAATTTAGCCAAATCATGCAGGCAAATCATGCCCAAACAATAATACTTAACTCACAATTTATATTATTATGAATGTTGTCATTACCTATATGATTATAGTATAATTAAACATTCATTCACTCATTTATGTACTTGATGTGTCACTATCAGATGATTCATCTTTAATTATCTTTGATATCTCTTCAACTGGTAATTGTAATTAAAACAATTATTAAATTTATGTTGTGTTCATTGTAATTATAATAATTCTACTAATAGAATAGATAAGATTATTAATCATACCATTAATCCATTGACTCTCTTCAAGCTTCATTTGTATTGCTTCTATTTTTTTAAATCTGTTTTCTGATATTTCTTGAAATGTTACCAAATTTATTTCAGTAGCTATTATTTATATGAATCAAGAATAAATACACAGATACCTCTTACCTGTTATCCTTTTATCTCTCTCTTCTAAAGCAGCTTTTAAATTATTAATCTGTACCAGCAAGTCTTTGTTCTCATTCACTAGGTCTACTACCTAAATGTGTATTATAAGAATAAAATACCCAAGTTCAGGCATCTTCTAACCTGAGCATCCCACACAGTACTGTGCTTCCCTAATATAAATTTCTTCAATCCTTTCTCTTGCAGTATCACTATTTTATTAAGGACAGCCATTATCAGTAAGCCAGTGTATTCAGCAGGACAATAGCAGGTTACTACAACTGATTGACCAGGTTTAATTTCAACTACTTTTATGCAATATTTGTGAAGAAGCTGTAACTCTAATAGTATGTCATTGATATCTTGCAAGGTGGTTTTGTCAGGATTCCGGTTTAAGACTAAGGTTATGATTTCAGATAGTAAATATCGTGTAGGGATTGCTTGGAATGTTTTGTCATTGGAAAGACTCACAAATACCGACCTGCAAAAAACCTTAGCAGCTTCTTTATGTTTTATGATGATGTTTTCAGCCTCTTTTATTTTAAAATGAACAGCTAATACTTCAAGTGGATGAACATCAACAATGCTACATTTTCTCTTCACCACATCCAGAACATCATTAATTGTTTTTTTATGAGAAAGCTCAGACTGGAGATTAGGAAATATGTCAAAAAGCAGCATTTTCATTTCATTGACACTTAAAGCTTTTTTCTTGTGCTTGCCAGATAATTTAGGATTTTTCTTTGAGAAAAGAAGTCGTACTTTATTAAAAGTTGATCTAAACTTTGCTTGCATTTCTTTAAATTCCTTTCTCATAGTACAAGGAGATGGTATTTCATGATCACAAATTGCAAAGTCTTCAGCTTTAATAAATAAAATGAATATTAATTAACTCAAAATGGTTTTTACTTTCTGAGTCACTTGACGCATATTGTGAGAGACCAGAATTTCCTCCTAAAAGCATAATAATAAACTAAATTTGCCAATTTGTAATGAAATATTAATACTTTCAGTGAAATAAGTTTCCATCTCCTCAATATCATTATCATCAGTTAGAAAATTGAGTTCTACAGTCAATATCAATAAAATATCCCTTGAATAATCAATTTAACATGCTTACTATATTCTTCAAAAATAGTATCTCCAATATGAGCAGTCTCTGAGAACTTCCTCAATACAGTAACAAACAACTCCAGGTGTTTGTAATTGGAGTGAACAGCATCTCGTACAGCTTTGAGGAGAACTGCTCTACTGTCAGAAACAGAACCTCTAGTAGACATGACACAAGACAGAGCCTCATCAGATATAACCTCTTCATGAAGCAACCTTGCCATACGAACTGGTTCAGTAATTGATTTAGAAAGAGCACTGTAATTATTTCTCAATATAACACTAGCACAATCTTCATTACAACCAGCTACCTCCTGTGGTTGTACTACTGTACTATCATCATCTTGAGAAATTTTCTCTTCTATCAAAATTTATTCATAAGCAGA